GCTCAGCAGGGAGCCTGCCTCCTCCTCCTCTCTCTCTCTGCCTGCCTCTCTGCCTACTTGTGATCTGTCTGTCAAATAAATTAAAAAAAAAATCTTAAAACAAAAAACAAAAAACAAAAAAAAAACAAAAAATATTAAAACTTAGTATTACAATGATGGCAACTTCCCCCAAGTTCACTTAAAATAAAAAATAATTTCAATCAAAATGTCAAATGTTTTTCAGGGATAAACTGATTCTAAAATTCATATACAGAAGTGGCAAGAATGGTTAACATAATTCTGAAGAGCAAGGTAGGGGAAACATGGGATTAATACAAAGCTATAGAAATAGACCAATGGAACAAAAGAGAGAACCTAAAAATGAAATTTGAGTGTGACAGAGGTTGCATTACAATTTAGATGGGCTATTTGATAAATGGTGCAAAAGGCATAGTGCTTACTTGTATGAAAAATAAAATTATCTTCTTCGTAATGTAGAAAAAATACATTTCAAGAGATTAGAGATAGGAGTCAAAAAATCAAATTTTAAAAATTGCTGTGGGCACCTGGATGGCCAGTTGGTTAAGCGTCTCACTTTTGATTCTGGCTTGGGTCATGACCTCAGCATCCTGGAATGGAGCCCCACATTGGGCTCCTCACTCAGCACAGAATCTGCTTCAGATTCTCTATCTCCCTCTGCCCCTCCCCCTGCTCATGGCCATGCACTCTCTCAAATAAAAGGAAATCTTAAAGTAAAATAAAATAAAATAAAGCAAATAACCTAACAGAGCAATGGACAAAGCAGGAAATGAGCAAAATCACAGAAGAGAAACCCCGAATGGCCAATAAACCTATGAAAACATGTTCAACCTTACAAGGGGAATAAAAATTACTATAGGATTGAGATACTGTTTTAAAGGTTGGCAAAAACTAAAAAGCCTGAGAACACCATGATGGGGAAAATGGGAGATTCATATTTAACTGTGAGTGTAAATTATTTTTTTTTTTTTAAAGATTTTATTTATTTATCAGAGAGAGAGAGGAAGAGAGAGCGAGCACAGGCATACAGAATGGCAGGCAGAGGCAGAGGGAGAAGCAGGCTCCCTGCCGAGCAAGGAGCCCGATGTGGGACTCGATCCCAGGACTCTGGGATCATGACCTGAGCCGAAGGCAGCTGCTTAACCAACTGAGCCACCCAGGCGTCCCTGTGAGTGTAAATTAAAATAACCATTTCGTTTGATGATGTATCTTACAATGCAACAATTTCACTTTCTGGTATATACATCCTAGAAATTCCTGGGACATGTGCAAGGAAGATAGGTATTAAAAGAACGTTCATCGCAAAAATGGTTTATAACAGCAAAAAAACTGGAAACTACATGTCCTTAAAAGAATGAGTGAATAGGGGCACCTGGGTGGCTCAGTGGGTTAAAGCCTCTGCCTTGGGCCAAGGTCATGATCCCAGGGTCCTGGGATCGAGCCCCACATCGGGCTTTCTGCTCAGCAGGGAGCCTGCTTCCCTTCCTCTCTCTCTGCCTGCCTCTTTGCCTACTTGTGATCTCTGTCTGTCAAATAAATAAATAAAATCTTAAAAAAAAAAAAGAATGAGTGAATAGATTGCAGTATATATATATATTAGATTAAGACAGTTAAAATGAACAGATTAGTAGTACATACATAAAACCGAATGAAAAAAAGCAAGCTATAGAATGATTTCACTTAATGGATTTTTAAAACTTACAAACCGCAAGTTTTATAGATCTGCAAATACTCAGCCACAATATAAAAATATTGGGAAGAATGATAAGCACCACCTTTACGAGAAGGGTTCCCTGTGGGGAGGGAGAGGAAAAAGAATGGGAACACCTAAGGGAACACAGGCAGGCATCAACTGTGTCTTCAATGATAGCTAACCAGCCAGCCAGCCAGATAGATATATATAATATAATGCTAAGATTTCAAGGCAGTTTGGATATGAGTACACACGTGTTTGCTACGTTATTTACTATACTCCCACATATTTGAAACATTTTGTAATATAAACTTCCTTAAAAGGAAACACATTTTAAAAACTGAACTAGAGGGGCGCCTAGGTGGCTCAGTCAGTTAACTGTCTGCCTTTGGCTCAGGTCATGCCCGCATGGAGCTCCCTGATCAGCATGAAGTCTACTCCTCCCTCTGCCCCCCAAGCCTGCTTGGCTCTCTTTCTCTGTGTCTCTCAAATAAAATCTTAAAAATAAATAAAAATGAACTAAAGCCACAGCATTAATATAAATACATCTCAAAAACTAAATGTTAAGTTAAAAAAATCAAGTTACAGAAATATGTATAGTATAGTATCACTGTATAACATATTTCTGTAAAACAGCTGTTCCACAGCTATATACATATTGTATATATGTAGTTGTACAGACTTTAATGGGAATGGTATACTCCAAATTCAGGATGATGGTTGTCTCTGGGCAGGGACTAAGAGGAACAGGATTGGGGAAGGGAACATAAGAAGCTTCAGCCAAATCTGTAAAGATTTCTTTTAAAAGCCTGAAGCAAGGGGCACCTGGCTGGCTCAGTCATTAGAGTGTGAGACTCTTGATCTCAGGATAGTGAGTTCAAGCCCCACGATGGGTGTAGAGGTTACCTAAAATTTTAAAATAAAAGAAAATCTGAAGCAAATATGGCATCTGGTAAAGCTTGGTACTGGATGGTTTTTAAAATCCCGTATTTATATATATGTATGTAAATAACAGCAGAAACAATAACAAATGAAGAAAATGAATGAAAGCTAACATCTGAGCACTTATTATGTAGTAGGCACTCTTCTGAACGCATGCATGTATACTCCTAAAAACAACCCGAGGAAGTAGATTCTGCTTGTTTCTAATACTATTATTATTTTATTACAATTTGATTCTATTACTCATTTTACAGATGAGTAACTAAAGCAGAGAGAGGTGAAGTTGGCCTAAGATTAGAAAGCTAGCAAATACTGAAAATAAGATACGAAGCCAGGATTTGTGCTCCAGAGTTTACACCTTAATAACCATGTTATTGTTATAATGTCATTCTCTATTCCTTTCACTATATCGTCAATAATTCATTTCCAATGTTATTTTGATATATTGGAAATGAAAAACACATTTTAATCCATGACCACATACACAGATTTCTGTGCAGCTCACACTAGTTCTAAAGATGCTCAAATGCTCAATTAAAAAAAAAATAAATAAATAAAATGCTCAAATGCTCAAAGAATTCTAGGAATGTCCTGAAAATAGTGGCATCCCAACTAATTTATCAATTTATATATTTCAGATTTGGTATTTTTTAGGTCATTATTTTATAATCAAACATTATTTTTTCAATAGTCTAACATACTATATATCTGGAAACTTAGATAGCTTATATAAAGAAGCCAATGATGTAACTGAACCATCTCTTTCTCTCTCATTAGAGGCAAAATTCCATAACTTAGCTTCAGGTCTGAAACTCATATTAAGAGTTTTTAATAAGTCATTCTGCCAAGAAATTCAATTTCAATCATTCCTTTTTTCTGGTTTCTCAATATAAGTTGTTTTTAAAAAGCCCATAGCTAATATTTATACAATAATAAATTGACATTCTCAGTCATTAAATATTTATCAGCATTGATTATGTGCTAATCATACATTCCTTGCTCCTGGTACCACTGTGAGCATTTCTTTCTTCCTTTTTTTTTTTAAAATGATTTATTTATTTATATATTTTTAGGGAGAGATAGAGAGAGAGTGAAGGGTGGGGGAGAGGTATGGGGCAGGGGCAGAGGAGGATAGAAAGGGAGAGAATCTCAAGTAGACTCCCTGCTGAGTGCAGAGCCCACAGGGAGTTCAGTGTCAACCCTGAGTTCATGACCCAAGCCAAAAGCAAGAGTCAGATGCTCAACCAACTGAGCCACCAGGCACACACACCCCCCATTTCTTAAAAATGTCTTTTCTCCATATATACAGCCACATTGTCGATGTTATCATCTACTAACCTACAGAATATGTATTCAAAAAATATAAAAATATGAAAAAGAAGTTCTTGCTTTCAAAGAATTCACTGTCTAGCAGGGGAAAGAGACAAAAATTATCTATAATATGTTAGTATTTTAAAAAACGTAATTAAACCTTAAGGGTGAAGGGAGATGAAAGGGTGGCTTGGTGCACTTCTAACAGCTAACCTGGAATGTGAACAGGAGACAGCAATGGAGACTGCTCTTTCAAGAAAACTTGTCTTAAAAGGAAGAGAGAATGATAGCTAGGGTCACAGGTTCTAGAGAAGGTTTTAAGATAAGAGAAATACTTAGCATCAATTATTCTGGAGTAGTTTCCTTGCTACATTCCTCTCCTAACACTAAATCCCAGTTTGAATATAACTAAGTCACTTAACATTTCTAAGCCTCAAATGAGATAGATGTTTAAGAACTCTAAATTATGAGGAAACTAAAATAAAAGACCTCTAAAGTTCTTTCTAGACCTAAAATTCTATGATTCTGTGACTGATTATCCGAGCTCTTTAAATTCAAAGGCAAATCATAAAATAATCAGTATGCAAAAAAGAAAAACCAAGACCAATTAAGAGATGAACTAGTTGTACAACTGCATTCTATTACTTTTGCAAAACTATTAAAACAATTCCTCTTTTAACCATCAGTAAAATTTTCACAAAAGACAGTGCCTTTTTATCAGCTGGTAAAGTGCTTCTCACCCTCAAACCTGTACACTTCTAAACAATCACCAAGCAAACTGTTTTGTAACAACAGAAGTAAACTGCTTAAAAGCCCATAGCTTAGACTTGTAAAAGTCATCTTTTAAATGGAAGAGGTTTATAGAAACACATATATTACATTCTTTCTATAAAATATTTGCTCATTATCTTTAAAATTTTAATGTACAGGTTCATAAACAGTTTTTTTTTTAAACTAGCTAAGATTAGATCTTTAGAGTAATATGCCTTCTTTTCACTATTACACATTCTGAAATTTAGAACAAGGTTTCCCTTACCTGATATGGACATGGAATGTGATATTCTCTGCAGCGTTCTTGTATCCATGTTGTTTCCCAGATGCCACGGTAAGCTTGCTCATAGAAGTAGCATCCAATTACAACCAAGAGTGGTACGAGATAAAGAATGCTGAAAACACCAATCCGGATCATAAACTTCACCAACTTATCTTGGTTCTCCTTTTCTAATGGAATTTCAATTCGAACTCTGTTTAGGGATATAATGCCAGCTAAGAGGAGAGAAACTCCAACTACCACATATAGGCAGAGGGGAGCAAGAACAAAATATCTCAATGCATCAACATCGTAGAGGCCAACAAAACACACGCCACTGATATTGTCACCTTCAATTTTATTCATCGCTAAAAGGATGATAGTTAGAGTTCCAGGGATGCCCCATGCACTGGCGTGAAATAGCAATGCTTTCTTCTCAATAGCTTCACTACCCCACTTTGGCACAGCTGCCAAGAACCATGTGATGGTAAGAATTACCCACCAGACACTGCCAGCCATAGTAAAAAAATAGAGTACCATAAAAAGCATGGTACAAGCTTTATTATGAGATCCTTGTGTCACTGTGGAAGCCTTATACTGTGCAGGGCTAGATGCATTGCAGGCTACTCGGTCCTCAAGCAAAAACCCAATGAAGAAAATTAGTGATACCATCATGTAGCAGACTGCATAAAATATGATAGGTCTTTCAGGATAACGGAATCTTGTGACATCAATCAAAAAAGTTAAAAAAGTAAACAACGTGGCAGAGAGGCAAATGATTGAAATTAATCCTATGAAGTATCGAGCAAATGAAAGTTCTTCTCTCCTAAAGTACATATTTGGACAAGGAGGTGAACAATCACGCACGTGTAAAAAAGAATAACCAAGATCAGGATCAATTTTCAACTCTCGAGGACACCAAAAACCATAGTCCCTCTGCACTGCCACTGGAGCTCCTTCAGTAGGATCACCAGCTGAATTCAGATCCACAAGTCGAGGATATGGCTCATCACAATCTGGGAACCTAAAAAAATACAAGATAAGAACCATTTTCACTTATTGGGAAATCTATTGATACCTAACAATTTGGGTTTCCAAATTTAGCACTCATGACCTTCTTCATTCTAATATCCTTGGCGTACAATTATATTAAGTAGGAATAAAGTAAATATTGATTCTTGTTCATGGGCCATACAATCAGACTGTCCATTGTTGATCAAAAAGTAATATGGTTTTATATCTGATATTTTTTTTAAGATTTTATTTATTTGACGGAGAAAGACGCAGTTACAGAGGGAACACAAGCAGGGGGAGTGGGAGAGGGAGAAGCAGGCCCCCTGTCAGGCAGGGAGCCCAATTTGGGGCCTGATTCCAGCACCCCAGAATCATGACCTGAGCGCTCAACTGACTGAGCCACTCAGGCGCCCTGGCTTTATACTTAATTTTGTTTTGGTTTCAAAAACAGTACTTTTTTTAAGTTTTTTTTTTTTTTTTTTTTTTTTCAATAATTTCTACCCCCAACATAGGGCCTGAACTCACAACTCCTGAGAACAAGAGTTGCATACTCTTCTGACTGAGCCAGCCAGGCAACCCAAAGAGTCTTCTTTTAATTAAAATAGCCTAACTTAGCCATCAATAAGTAACACTGTATATAGGGAGCATTTATTTAAGACACACACTTTAAAATAAGATTTCAAACTATACATTATTATAAAAGAAATAAATACATATCTCTAACAAAATAGTAGCTTTTCCCCAATCTTTAACTACAGTTACACCAGATTCAATGGAACTTCCTTAAGCAGAAATGTTAAAAGATTTTTCCCAAATGCACAGCCCAAGGTGTTCTGAATTATATTAGCATTAAAAATCATTATAAGTGGCGTAGTTTTTAGACCTTTCTTTCCCATTTTATATTTGTCCCCTGCTTAGCATATTGGTTAATTACAGTCCTTCTAAAGTCTCTAATATCAACTACTTCTTTCTTATCATCCCTAATTTCTATCCAATCCATTACATTCTCTAACTCAGTTATTCTCAAACTTTGGTGTACGTAAGAAAAAATATTGTTTTTAAAAATAAAAGTTCAGGGACGCCTGGGTGGCTCAGTTGGTTAAGCAGCTGCCTTCAGCTCAGGTCATGATCCCAGCGTCCTGGGATCGAGTCCCACATCAGGCTCCTTGCTTGGCGGGGAGCCTGCTTCTCCCTCTGTCTCTGCCTGCCATTCTGTCTGCCTGTGCTTGCTCTCTCTCCCTCTCTCTCTGACAAAAAAAATAAATAAATAAAAATAAAAAATAAAAGTTCAGTGCCACCTGGGTGACTCAGTCAGTTAAGTGCCTGCCTTCAGCTCAGGTCACAATGCAGCAGTCCTGGGATCAAGCCCCAAGCTGCTCAACAGGGAGTCTGCTTCTCCCTCTCCCTCTGCTCCTCCCCCGACTTGTGCTCTCCCTCTCCCTCCCTCACTCAAATAAATGAATAAAATCTTTCTAAAAATAAAACTTCTTGGGGCATCTGGGTGGCTCAGTCAGTTAAGCATCTACATTAGGCTCAGGTCATGATCCCAGGGTACCACTCAGCAGGGAACCTGCTTCTCCCTCTTCCTCTGCCCTTGCTTGTGCTCTCTCTCTTGGTCTAATAAAGAAATAAAATCTTTAGGGGCGCCTGGGTGGCTCAGTGGGTTGGGCCGCTGCCTTCGGCTCAGGTCATGATCCCAGGTCCTGGGTTCAGGCCCCGCGTCGGGCTTTCTGCTCAGCAGGGAGCCTGCTTCCTCCTCTCTCTCTGCCTGCCTCTCTGCCTGCTTGTGATTTCTCTGTCAAAATAAATAAACAAAATCTTAAAAAAAAAAAAAAAAGAAATAAAATCTTTAAAATAAATAAATAAATAAGAAAATTCTTGGTTCCCCACCACCACAAATCATATTACAATATACCTGTGTTAGGGCCCAGAAATTTGCATTTTAGCAAGTTTCCAAAGGTACGAGATCTGCAGACTTGAGAAAGTGTCATGGCTGCAGAACAAATAAAACAGGTTTGTGGTGCAGACACGAGTAAGGGTACCATTCTCATGAACTTCTGCATCTTCAATTTTCTTGCCTGTATCAGTTTCTAAGCCTTCAGACTCCTAATAACTAGATGTTTAATAGTTTATATACATCAAATAGTTTCCAAGAAGCTGTGGTTGATATTAAGTTTGACAAAAACATGCATAACCTTATGCTGTAGCTGATTAATCTTTTATTTTCTAATACAATCCATTTTCTTCTCTGGACTTGGAATTGTAAATCCAAATGAGAGAAACTTTTGGCATCTAAGCATTTGCTTATATCCTGCAATATGTCAGGGATTAAACATGAAAAGACAAAAAAACCAGACTTTCTATCCTGCAGTCTAAAAGGAGGTACAAATTGTAAATACAAAATTCAGCAGTGGGATATATGAAGCAAACAAACTCTATATAATGTATAAAAATAATACAAAAGATTAATTCTTCCCAGGGGCAAGATTATGAAAGACTTCATAAAATAAGACCCTCAGTACAGGATTTTGACTCAGTATTTGACAGTTCTGGTAGTATGCCAATCAGTATTCTAGCAAGAAATGCAAGCAATGGCAAAGAGATTTGAACAGGGTAGTTTAATATTGCTGGAGCATGAAGTGTGCATGACTTGTGACAGGAGATCAGGTTGGAGAGATAAGCATGTTGCAGAAGAGGGAGAACAGTGATATAAAATTTCAAACCCTGCCAAATTATACTCTATGTTTTTATGGCTATATTTGTATATTTATCTGCCACTCAATATATATACACTTCACTCTATAATCTTTCCAAAAACCAAACTCTTGATTTCTACTCCTTAAGTTTCCCCCATTTCCATAAGTGGTAATCACATACTTCTAGTTACTCAGGCCAAAAACCTTGGGGTCATCCTTGAAATCCTTTCCTCTAATACATACCTCACAATCTGCCACCAATTTCTATCACCGTACCTTATGATGTATCTTCTCATTTCCTCCACTGCCTCTGTGCAGTTTAAGCCATTAATACCTCTTCCCCGGACTTCTGGAGTATCTTCCAATTGATCTCCATTTCCACACAGCAGTCAGTGTCCTTTATAGACATGCCACTCCTGTGCTCATGATCATGTCTCTTCTGCTCAAAGTCCTCTAGTGCTCTCCCACCTCACTAAGAGTCAAATCCAAAGTCCATATCAGAGCTACAAAGACCCTACGACCAGTATTTTTCTAATCTGATATCCTTCCATTCTCCCTAAATTACTTGACTCCAGATTCTCTGGTTCCCTTGTTCTTTGGCTAATCCAAGCATGCTTCCATTTCAGAGCAGGTACACTAACTGCTGTTTCCTATGCTAGGTTTTTCTTCCCTAGACATCTAGGTTATTTGTTCTCTCCTATCGTTTGGGTCCTTATTCTAATGCCTCTTTATCAAAAAGGCGTTCTCCAATACGTCTGTAGAAGAGAGTCCTTCTGCTTCCCCATATTTTATCATTACCACCCAACCCTATTCTTTTTCGTATTAGCATTCATTACCATCTGATATTATCTATTTATTTGTTATCTCCCACCACTGCCATCACTATTAGAATTTTAGTTCCATAAGAACCAAGACTGTATTTTGTTCACTACTTATCTTCAGCATCTAGACTAGTGGCTAGCACACAGGACACACCCAACTAATATTTGTTAATGATTACTGAATAAACATATTCATATAGACCTAACCCAGGTAATTAGAAAGATGACTAGGAATAGTGTGGAAGATAGACTTGGGCAAAAATGGAGGCAGAGATATTAGTTGATTCAAATAATATCAGGACTAAAACCAGGTAAATTCAGGGGCACCTGGTTGGCTGAGCTGGTAGAACATGTGACTCTTGATCTCCAGGTTCTAAGTTCAAGCCCCATGTTGGGCATAGAGATTACTTAAAAATTATTTTTAAATCCTAAAAAGAAACAAAATAAAACAGATAAGGCAGTGGGAATGAGACATATATGAATTAGTTAGATAAAAGCAATACAGTTTATAATTGATTAGATATGGGAGCTAAGGCAAATGAAGGAGGAACAGAAGATGACTTATAGAGAATTAAAAAATGAGCAAAGGAAAATCAATTTTAGACATGTTGAAATTGAGGTATTTGAGACAAATGCAGGCTAGGATTTCCAATAGCTGCTAGATATGCAGATTTGGAACTCAGCAAGATGTCAAAGCTATAGATTTAGGTGTAGGAGTCAGCAGCAGATGAGTAAGAGCTAAAGTGAGTGAGATGAGATCATCCTGGAAAGCACGTAGAATCAAAAAGAACAGGAACAGAACTCTGGAAAGCACCAATACTCAAGGGGCAAAATGAGGAAGAGGATCCAAAAAAAGAAATTAAGAATAATTGGTCTGAGAAATAGCAGACCAGAATAGTTCACATATAATGGCGTAAATGATTTTCATGAAAAGAGGGCAAGCTGAGGTTGAGGGGAATTAGGATGAAATACAGAATAAAGCTGAAATACAGGTTTGAAGTGAGTGATACAGATTTGACAGAGGTGCTGAGAGGAATAAATAGAAATTATTCTTTTGACCAAACTGGAAATTTGCCAAAGACAGACAGCAAACAGAACTGCTATGGTTGGCATCATTAAACATACAGCATATAGAAATGGGTTGACTCAATCCAGTTGGAAATCTGACAAACAAGTTCAGTAGAAGGAATTGCTTCAAGATTGCTTCAATGTTGAAATTGCTAGCAAGGTATCATTTCAAGTGATAGACCACGAAGATTAAGTAAGGAAATAAATGAGATTAGGAAGAGGGATACTAAGAGAGGGGTTAAAAAAAAAAACAAAGTCTGGGAGTGTCCAAGAAGTTCAAGAGCAGTAGGAACAAGAATAGGAGAGATGTGGAAGAATGAAAGGTTGTTATGAAAGATGAGTTTGCCAGAATTTAAGGTTTCACAGTTAGTCAATGCCATGCAATGGTAAGGACATAAAACAGATCTAATCCCATCAAAATAAGGATGATAATGAGATTTCTATACTAGTATGTAAACTATTAATATAAAAAGACCACTAAATAATGGGAGTTAGCTACAAGAAACATAAAACAGAGTGTTGCCCAAGCAAATCATAACTGTTGTTATAAATACCAAGAAGTTAAAAGACTTCTAAAAGAGGGACTGTAAATGCTACCACATGTTTGGGGAGAAAGTGGATGAATGGTTACATGGGACTAGATAAGAAAACAGGTTAAACAGGTGGGAAACAGAGTAGACAAATATGAGAAAGCAAAATGTCAGTGAACTGACCATAAGAAACTGGTATGTTTTATTTCTGAAGTTTTTCCAAATGCCAAATGAGAGTAACAACACCCGCTTTTTACCCACCTCCACGGACTACTTTTAGATGACAGAATTAATTTTAACATAAAGGAGAAAAGAATGTTCACTGCAGCACTACTGATAACAGCAAACACCCAGAAATAAATGACTAGCAACAGAAAGTGGCTAAATAACTATGGAATATTAACATAGTAGTCCATTATGTAGCAATTGAAAGGAATGAACCAAACCTAGAGATATACAGATACATTTAAAAAATTTTAATGTTGTTTATAGATGTGTATATATGTAATAAGAGTATAAAAGCAAATATAGAAATGATTAACAACACAGTCAACATAATTATTACTTCATCTCTGGGGAGGAAAGAAGGGAATGAAATCAAGATGTGTACCAAGGAAGGAACTTTCAACTCTACCTGTATTATTTCTTTAAAAAAAAAAAAGTGACTAAACCAAGAATCACAAACTGTTAAGACTGGATAAAGTTAGACAACAATAGTACATATGCATTTATCTTATTATTCCTTATTTCTGAAATATTTCACAATACAAAAAGGTACAAATTATATAAGAAATACTCTATACATTATTACTAACAATAACATTCTCTCATATAAATCTACAAGACCGTCTCGTGAATGTTGTCAAAGCTTTAGGAAATGCTTATAATCTATATTTTGGAAGTAATCTGAAAAGTATCTGACATTTCCTAATTCTGGTTTGTTAATTAATGACAAAAAAGGGTTGACAGAACTACTTTAGTCATTAACACATTTAAAATCATACAAATATTTAATTTCCACTATGTCATCATTAAAGACATTTAATGGTGAGGTAATGAATGATTATTTTCTTCTCTATATTTTCTAATTGCATTACTTACTAGTAGCATTACTTGTATAGCCAGAAATTTTGTGAAGGAAGAAAAATCAACTTTATATCTTGACTTTTTCTTAATTCTCTTAAAAATCTCTTCATTGAAATGTTTTTTTTCCTTTTCTACCTTTTCATCCAGTGACTTGAAATTCTTAAGGAAATGAACAATTCTGAGGCCATGAAACGGCTGTTAAAATTAAGATTAATAGGTACTTCAAGAAAGTTTTTAAAAACTGATGAACTAGAAGACAAGTAATTTTAAACATACTATAGCATTAAGTAATGATCCATGAAAATCTATGGTTTTCGCACCTACTGCATTCCATATCTTCAGGCCACGGAACACCAAACATCTCCATGAGTTCCGAACACTCACTGTAAGCCCGCTGACACAGCCTACGACAGGGAAGAGTGACACGTCCATATTCCATACAAATAGGAGCATAGAGTGCACAAAGAAATGGCCGAAAATCCCGAGAACAATCCAGATTCACCATTGGGTGGAATGGCTAGGAAAAAGTTAAAATTGAACAATTAGAGAAAGAATTGTATACAACTTAAAACTTCCTATTTAGAATATTACAATATTCTTTTTTTTTTTTTTCATTTTAAAAATTTCTGAAGGCTATTAAAATTTCTGAAGGAAAGTTTTGGTTTTTGAAACAAAATCCTCTTAGCTATATCCCTAAGGATTCTGAATTGGTTGAGACTGAGATGTGTTTCAGAATCTATATGTATATTTTAATTGTTAAGGTGATATTAATGAAGAGGCAGGGCTGAGAATCACAATATGATACACATTACATAGAAAAAAAAAACAATAAAAGATATATGCCAAATGCTCAAAAAAGTGATTACTGCTTGGTGACAGGAATCTAAGAGATTTTAATTTTCTTCTTTTTATGAATTTCAATTTTATTCAACTAAAAAGTATCAACAAGAGAGAGCAGACAAATGCTAAAAGAGGAAAGGGAGTGGGAGTGGAGGAAGAGAAGCAGTTATACATAGCAGTAGTTATTTTGGGAGTGTGGGAGAGGGAAAGATTTCTCACATTTGTCTCATATTTTCTTGTTCTTTTACATTAAAAAATTTTTTTTAAATGGGTATCATATGATGTAAACAGAACTAACACTGTAAGCTGATATTAAGGAAACAAAAGGAAAAATAGAGGCTCTAGACATAAAACCATGCTTAAATAATCATTAAAACCACAGGAATAGATCAAACATCCCAATAAATATTCATCTAAGGTTTTCATTATCAAATATTCTTTTCACTTATTCATATAATGGTTTCAGAGTCATTGCTAATTTTGATCTGGTAACAGATATTCTCACCACTAAGCCTTTCTATTAAGAATCAATCAGCTTTGGGGCGCCTGGGTGGCTCAGTGGGTTAAAGCCTCTGCCTTCGGCTCAGGTCATGATCCCAGGGTGCTGGGATCAAACCCTGCATGGGGCTCTCTGCTCAGCAGGGAGCCTGCTTCCCTTCCTCTCTCTCTGCTTGCTTCTCTGCCTACTGTGATCTCTGTCAAATAAATAAACAAAATCTTAAAAAAAAAAAAAGAATCAATCAGCTTTTACATTGACACATAATATTTTCCAAAGGCCTCCTATACAAGATGCAGTCAGAAAACCAAGAGTCACTTAAAGAAACTCAAGACTTAACTGTATAATGGACAGGTACCCAACATATAACAATAAATTCTGTGTGACCATCATTCCCAAGGATGAAGGAGTAGGCTGTATTAAACCAATGTTTCCATCAAGAACAATTTTAAAATACAGAAAAACAGTTTTAAAACATCTATTTAAAGCTACTGAAGAACTGCTGAAGCAAAAAAACTAGAGGGACCAAGAATACAGAGAACAGGAAACATGGATATGTGGCCTGATATGCAGAGCTGCTTTTCTAAGAAGGCATTTGTTGAATCTTGAAATTGAAGTTGAAGGCAGTTTGTTAAGTCATAAGGTGAGAGGCTGAGAATCAGGCTTTGACTAGGCTGGTGCTAGAAACCAGTGCAGTTTTGGTGGTCTTACAAGGCTATAGATAAAATTCAAAATGAAAGGAATAAGACATAGGTTTCGAGAAGGGGAAGTGCCAAGGACTGAGTCTGACACAGAGCCAATTTTCCCTTCAAGAAATCAGAAATTCTGAAGCTGCAGGAGGAAGGAGCTAAGAAGCTAAGCAGAAAGACTCTTTGAAAAACAGAGTGGAGATTTTGGTAGTTTTATTGTACTAAGGAAACATGGATTAGAGTTCAAGTTCTGACAGAGGAACTGAACATACCAAACTCTCCCAGGTGGAAGCCTCTGAATAGCTACATTCTTTTTGCAGTGACAACAAAGGAAGGCAGAGACCTACCAGCCTCAACTCAGCTCAGTCCCTAATGGAATTAAGGTGATCTACCATTTATCTGCTGATTAGAAGAAAGGGTGAGCCTTCTCTGGAGTAACAGAACATTATCTGGAACCTCACCAACATTTTGTAATGTCTAACACTCAAAAAAAATTACTAGGTGTTTCAAGAGACAGGACTATATGGGGTGTCTGGGTGGCTCAGCTGGTTAAGCCTTTGGCTCAGGTGATGATCTCAGAGTCCTGGGATCCAGCCCCCTATCAGGCCTTCTGCTCAGCAGGGAGTCTCTTTGTCCCTCTCCTCTGCCCCTGCCCACCCCGTTCATGTGCAGTCTCTCTCTCCCCCCTTTTATCAAATAAGTAGATAAAATATTTTTTTAAAAAAGAGAGAGAGAGGAGACAGAACCATATGATTAAAACCAAGAAAAAAAATTACATTTTGGTGGTCCAGCTATTGAACTTAATATAAGACTGTAGATAACTATGTCAAATATGTTCAAGAAAATAAAAATGAAGAATTTCACCAGAAACTGAAATCTATTATGAAAGGAATCAAGTGGAAATTTTATAACTGAGATATACAATCTGGAATTAAGAACTCATTAGATTTATCAAAAGACAGAAATGGCAAAATAGAAAACAAGACAATACAAAATATCCAAACAGAAGCACACAGACCAAAAAATACTGAAAAATACATTAAAAAAATAAGAGACATGTAAAACATGGAAAAGCCTAAGATATGCATAACTAGAATCTTAAAAGGTGGGGAGAAAGAAAATGGGCAGAGCCATTATATAAAAAGATGATGCCTGAGAATTTTCTAAAACTAATTGAAGACAACAATCTACAGATTCAAAATCTTCTATAAACCACACAAAGGATAAAAATAAGAAAATCACAGTGAGGCAAATGTTAAATTGTTGAAAACTGAAGAAAAATATCTGAAAAGGAGCCAATGGAAGTGGAAGGAGGAAAAGACAACTTACCTTTAACAGAGCAACAGTTAACCCTCAGAGCTGACTTTGGAAAACCATAAAACAACAGAATGACTTTTAAAGAGCTAAGGAAAAATAACTGCAAACTTCTAAGTCTACAGCCAGCAAAAATATCCTTCATAAATGAAGGCAAAGTAAAGACATTTTCAGACAGACAAAAAAATGAGAGAAAATCAGTCACCAGCAAACCTGCACTATAAGGAATACTCAAGAGTTTTTCAGACGGAAGAAAGATGATCAAAGATGAAAACTCAAAAGTACTTAAAATCAACAAAAGGGGTGAAAATGTGGGAAAATATAAATGAATACTCCCTGTACCAATAAAAAGTAATAATGTCTTAAAATACATACAAAATACCGGGTGTGTGTGACTGTGTGTGTGTGTGTGTGTGTGTGTGTGTATCTCAATAAGTGACAGAAGAGGACAAAAATTCTGTAAGAATACAGAAAATCTAAACAAGCCAATTATAAATTTGATCTAAGTAACATATTTATGGGGCACTTGGGTGGCTTAGTTGGTTAAGTGACTGCTTTTGGCTCAGGTCATGATCCCAGGGTCCGGGAATCGAGCCCCACATTGGGCTCCCTGCTCAGTGAGGAGCCTGTCTCTCACTCTCCTTCTGCTGCTCTGCCTGCTTGTGTCTCTTGCTCTCTCTGTCAAATAAATAAATAAAATTAAAAAAAAAATAAATAACATATTTATACTCATGATATCCAATAATAACTGGATCCTATTTAACAGGAACACGGAATCTTTATTAAAATTAGCCATATTCTAGATCCTAAAGCATGCCACAGCAACCTTCGGAGAATTAAAATCATTCATAGAAGGTTCTAAGACTAAAATGTAATTAAGGTATAAACCAATTACAGAAAATGCCCAAACCCAACTGCTTGAAAATCTGGAAATTAGACAACAAACTTCTAAATAACCCATAATCAACAAAGGGAATCATAACAGAGATGTAAGTTGTATACATAATTATATAGATTATATAATCTATATATAAAAGTAAATAAAGATAATATCAGCAAAAGCTGTACTCCGAGAAAATCTACAATCTGATATACACATAACAGATAATAAGAAAGCCTGAAAACAATCAATGACCTAAGCTCCATCTCAAGAAGCTAGAAAAAGGGGGCGCCTGGGTGGCTCAGTGGGTTAAGCCTCTGCCTTCGGCTCAGGTCATGATCTCAGGGTCCTGGGATCGAGCCCTGCATTGGGCTCTCTGCTCGGCGGGGAGCCTGCTTCTCCCTTTCTCTCTCTGTCTGCCTCTCTGCCTACTTGTGATCTCTCTCTGTCAAATAAATAAATAAAATCTTAAAAAAAAAAAAAAGAAGCTAGAAAAAGAATGGCTAAACTTAAGGAATGTATAAGGAAAGCAGTAACAAGAAAACAAGCAATTTCAATTATCACTATCAGGAATGAAGAAAATTAATGTAGAAAAATAACGTAGATACCATAAATAATAAATTTACTAGATTTATATTACTAGATTTATAATGTAGATACCAAAAGTAATAATATTGACATGATGAAATGAACAAATGCCTTGGGAAAAAAAAAAATCACAATTTACCAAAACTCATAAAAGTTTATCTCCTATCTACAAAGAAATTTAATCCATTATTAGAAATTATTCCCCCCAAAGAGAACTCTAGACTAAGATGGCTTTACTAGAAAAATATGTCAAACATCAAATGAAGAAGTTGCAATAATCACACAAAAACTCTTCCTAAAAGGGGGGAAAAAGGAACTTTACCCAATTCGTCTAATGAAATCAGCCTAATTTTTATAATACAACCCAACAGGAACTATCTAAGAAGGAAAATTATTCCTCATGATCATAGATATAAAAATTATATCAGGGACGCCTGGGTGGCTCAGTTGGTTGGACGACTGCCTTCGGCTCAGGTCATGATCCCGGAATTCCGGGATCGAGTCCCACATCGGGCTCCCAGCTCCACAGGGAGTCTGCTTCTCTCTCTGGCCTTCTCCTCACTCGTGCTCTCTCTCACTGTCTCTCAAATAAATAAATAAAAATATTAAAAAAAAAAAAAACTATATCAGTAAATTAATCCAGAATATGTACAAAAGGAGTAATATACCACATGAACTTTTTTCCTAAGGATAGAACACTGATTAACATC